ATATGGAGGAATTATTTCATAATCGACTGAAAACTCAGTTGCTGAATTAGCAAAATATTTGTATTCAAAGAAAAACTAGAGTGAACGCACGCCGGATCACTGAGGAAATCATGCAACTCCTTAAATGAACCAGTTTGCTTGAAATGCCAAGGAATTTCTTCCATTTTTCTTGCCCAGCTACAAAGCCCTAAACTGGACTTCTGAAAAAACTTAGCAAGGATCCGATGGTAGGAGATGTGACCCTCTGTACCTTAAAGTGAAAGAGACAAAAGCACAGTAAGAATTGTAAAAAGCACCCTGTAAGAACGTCCTGGAAATACCTGTTGTTTTAATGCTGGGAGACTATATTAATGTATGTCAAGAATCACAGTGTCAGAAGGCATTGCTACTGAAACGTTTTTTTTGTTATTATTATTATTAAAAAATTTGTTGCATATTAAAATAAATATATATTAAAAATATATATTTAATTCTAAATTTATTTTTATTTTTAATAATTAATTTTTAATTTAATTTAATTTAAATTAATATAATCAAAGGTTTGGCTACATAAAGCAACTATTTTGTGGCAAGGATTGAAATATAATAAAGGAGAATAAGACAAATAACATAAAACCATCCACACCGTGCAACAACAGGTTAATAGCTTGGCTGAGTGATTGATGCATGATGGTCAGAAGACCATTGGTTTTCTGCCAAAAAGCAGAGCGCAGTCGGGCCCATTCCAAAACCTGGACTCTCAAATTACCACAGTAACCTAGATCTTCCAGCAAAGCCAAAACCTGAGACTCAGTCAGCCCAGCACGAGACACATGAATAAGACAGTGTGTAGTGTACACCCAGCCTGAGAGATCTGTAGAGAAGTAGAGAAAATGCTTATTATATTGAACTAATAAAGTCATGGCAAGCATGGTTTTATATAACAAAATAAAAAGGATTTACCATCCCTGAGTAATGCAGTGCTTGTTTGAGCCTCAGTGACTTTACAAGAAGTAATATCTTCTGTTGGAGCAGTTCTGCTGTAATCTTGTACCCGGCGATGAATGACCTTCACCCAGAGCTCTGGAATTGACTCAGCCTCTAAATACTCCAACAGCTCCTTCTCTTCCTCTTTCTCCCTCAGCACTCCACATGTCTGTAACTCTGTGCCAATGAGAGCTAAAAAGGCCGGAATGTGGCACTGCTTATACGTGCAACTCTTTGCAAAACACTGGCTGGTAGATCCATGTAAGGCAAAGACAAATGTTTGTGCAAAATGCTGCCCAGAACACTAGGATTGGAGAGATGGGGACAGTTGAGAATCTGGACATCGGTCGTGCCGCTCAGACTTTTGTAAGTGAGGTCAGTGAAGGTTGTTGTGATGATCATTTTACAATAGGGAGGCAGAGCATCTGGCAGCCATCACAGTGCCTTTACCTGGAAAACAAAATACAGAAATAAGGTGTTTATTGTATTGAAATTAAAAAGTTAAAGATAACTTGATCAATCAAACAGGAAATTAAAAGAGCACCTGCTGCTTTGAGACTCCGAGTGTTTCTGTCAGAAGGTCAATACCATCTATAAGAAGAATACAAGGTCCAAGACTTGCTGCTGCAGTAAATGCCTGGACCGCCCGATGGAGGTGCATAAACTCAAATACATCCTCCAAACTATCATCCCAATCTGGAAAATCACCTGCAGAAACCAATTAGATGTAAAATATTAGAATATTTGGTCTTTATTTATAAAGCACTAATTTTTTATAATATAAATATTGCATTATATATATATATATATATATATATATATATATATATAGATAGATATATAAATATAATATATTTTAAAAAAATATATATTTTATTTATTTATTTGTTTGTTTGCCCACCACCCACTCCACAAATATTTAATACATTTACATTACAATTATAATATTTACCTGTACAATAAAATTTCTCATTTTAATTATTATTATTATTATTTTAAATAATTTAGAATAGGTTTTAAATAACAACAACAACAATAATAATAAAAGTTACACATCTTTTGTCTTTATTTATTATGCTCTAAAATATTATTAAAAATATATTAATATACATAATATACAGTATATATAATATATTATATTATATATGTTAACATATATTCGCATATTATTGCTCTTTTGTTGGTTTTGATTGCTTCTATTGTCATCATTTGTAAGTCGCTTTGGATAAAAGTGTCTGCTAAATGACTAAATGTAAATATATTTCAAAATATTTTATTAAAAATGTTTAATAACGTGATACATTTAAATTATAATACTTACACGTACAATAAAATGTCCTATTTTAAATTCAAAATCTTAACAATTATTAGTTAACATTTATTTTTAAATTATAAAAAAAAAATGTAAACAAAACAAAACATAACCAAACAAAATATATATATAATTACTAAAATGTTGTTTTTATTATTTATATTTAATCTTTTTGTATCTGATTTTTCTTGTCTGGTCGAGGCAATAGTTCAGATTTCTTCAAATTAATTTTTACTAATCCCCCACCCGTCCCACCAAAATGTAATAAATTTGTATTTATTATAAATATTATTGTTGTTATTATTATTATGATTAATAATAATAAATTATTTATTATTATATTTTTCACACATAATTTCACAATTATTCAGTCTCCAAAAATAAACCAAACACAATTCTGCTGGAAAAATGAGACAATTTAGCGTATTGTGCTCTCCGAAGTTGAGCAGTACACTGTCTAAGCATAGACCTGATGTCAGTGCTGGATGTGCTGGTTCCACAGAAGTGAGAGATAACTGGAACATCAGGATTCTGTCTGCAGAAGGACTGCAGCCACCATGCCACCAGAGTGGACTTCCCACAGCCCCTTTCACCACATACTAGTAAAATACTTGCTGTTCTGGTCAAGATCACTGAAAGCACACACAAATGTGACCCATAACATATGTCCATCAAACACAGTTTACCTATTTTACTGGGTTTTTATGTTTTTACCATGTGAAATGAGCTTCTGGATTTCTTGAGTGCATCTCAGATTTTGGATTATGGGTTACAGGATCCATAAATTAGTTTAGTGCGTTCAGTATTTCTGTGGCAGGTACTGAGGGCACAAACCAGTCACACAATGCACGAGCATGCCTCTCATGGTAATGCAGATCGAATGAATCCTGCCTACAACAAATCAAGTCAAAAATCAAGTCAAAAAACGTCTCTCAACGTCATATTCCATAATAATGACTCAAAAAAACATACTTAATATTACATTTTGATTAGGACAGAGAAAGAATTTCTAAGGGGAAATAAAATAAAAATATTACTTATTCTCTAAGACCCTAAATATATAAATGTATACATAATGATATATACATTTATAATGATGTACATTTTATTTTTTAATATTTGGGGTAATAAGTTAGAATAAGTAATAATAGAAATGTTCAACTATTTTATATATGTGTACATGTATTCTTTTATTCAATTGAATATAAATGTATAAAGTAATAAAGAAAGAAATAAAAACGAGAATAAATAAAAATAATTCAGAATTTGATTAAAAGTCCAAAATTGTGGCCTTTTATAACGAAAAATAAATAAATATATTTGAGAACAGGTGCAGAAATGTAGTCTTACCTGAGATGACTCCTTCACAGTCCGCCTTTATCATCTCCTCAAGTTCATTAAGGATTTCGAAGAATCTGTCAAACAGTGGAAAGAAAAAGGAAAATGCATTTAAAATACTCAACACCCAAATACACAAGTTGTGCTTCAGTATTTCAAATAAATCTGCTTAAAGACTGTGTCTGTGACTTGTATACTCAAACCTGACGGGAAGACAATGATTTATGATCCTTTTTTTTAGATCTCTCAATCTCTGTCTCTCACTTTGTCTTTGAGTGGACAGCATGTTCAAGAATTTGCTCATTTCATCACCGCAGACGTCCTCGGTGTCGTGTGGGGTGCAGTCTTGAAAATAGAAGAAGCAGCTTCTGTTGTTGTCAATGAAGGCTGCCTTGGTGATCTCCAGCTCTGTAAGGCTACAGGTGCGATACTCATCCTCCATAACCCCAGGCTAACCAGCCTCTGCAGCAACATACAAGTTCCTCGCCACCTCAGACAAGTTCTGCTGGCAGACACTGTCCATAGCAGTGTCCAGAGGACAGATGAAAAGGATGAGTGGTCAATGAGATCCAAACTGATTTTCAATTGCTGTTTCATAAAGATCAGGCTTATGATTATTTTCATCATCTCTTCTTTCTTGTTTGCTTCGCTGCAAGTCCACAGGTGTGAAACAGGTTCCTTTTGCCTGGCAAAGTGTGTCTAGGTGTGGAAACACTTTTGTTTGCAGGTAAATCAACTCTTCTTGAAGATCACTTGGAACATAACACAGGTAAGGCCAGAAAGGAAAGCCCAGGTATAAGCTATGGGAAGTTTCTCCTATATTTTCTTCTTGGATATTTATTCCTTGCCGTTTTAGTGCGTCGCAATTTCAGAAATAGTTACATTCAACAGAGAAAAATAAAAATAAATGCAAAAAAATATGAAAAGATAGGCTAATTTTAATTAGTCAAATTCTCCTGGAGCTTTAGTCAATAAATAGAAAATTCTATCGTGACTTTCTTGTGGTCTTTCACCGTGTCAACGACTGGTAGTTAAGGAAACCGTAACTACTCTAAATGAAATATGATTCTGAATCAGCTAGTTCCGTTTCCCCTAACCCGTTTAAAGCGGTGTAAACAAAACTCACACCGTTCCCAGATCAGCTGTCAGTCACAGGCTATGACGAAATCCTCTTATAACGCTCGCTCGCTGAACTGGCATCCCGTCGAGCCAATCAACGCGAGCCACGATTGGAACGGGTAAAATCGCACATGTAAGGCGGTGATTGGAAGACAGCGGCTGCGGATCGCTCTCTGATTGGTGCGGTGTTGTGCGTGGGGTGCTGCGATTGGCTCAAACCGGCTGAGCACAGCCCTAGAGCGCAGGAGTTTATAAAGCCGACTTCTCGCTCTGTCTCCACGCACTGCAAGAGTTCGGCGAGGTGTTGAGTGCGCTTTAACTGCTCAAGGCGTTATTCTGCTATTGCGTCTCATTAATAAACCGTTTTTCTTTCAAAAACAATGAGGCGACTGTGGATTATCGGTCTCCTCTGTGCACTTTTGGCATTCGGTGAGTACGTTTTACCAAATGGCCATGAAATGCACCGCGTTATGCAGTTTGATGCCAATGAACTTGACAAAGCTTTTGAGTGTTTGCAGTAATGCTGCTATCTTCGTGTGCTTCCTCTTTCTGCTATATAAGCTTGAGTATTATATTTAAAATTTTTAAATAATGCTTCATGTGAAGATATACGTTAACGCTTCCTAAATGAACGAATGATTCAGAACAGGAAATAAAACATGGAGAGTGGATTTGACCCGCATGTGTTTCTGGAAGTTTCCTTAAGATTGAAATGGCCTTCATATAATTATATCCTTTAATAATATACAGTTATATCGCGCCTTAAAACGATCAATTGCGTTGAAATTATGATGTAGTCTATTGTAATCGTACTAGTAATGTTTTTTTTTTTAATGGAAAATAGTCATGAGAGAGTAATGCAAAATAAAATAATGCATAGTAATTGCACATTTAGAGAAGAATTTAACCAAGGATCTTGGACCATGTTGGATTGTCACATCAAGGCCTTTAAATGTAGCTGAGAGCTTCTGGATCAAAATAAAAAAGGTGCTTTTGCACCCAGAACAAGAGCATTTGCACGTTTCAGATGTGGAGAGCCTTACCTGGGCAATTTTAATCAAATTTGCCTTCACATGCTGTGCATTTTCATGTACAACAAACAAACAGCCAGGCTGGGCACAATAGAGTCTTTGCTGAGCAAATATACTTAGGAGTTAAGTTATAAAACACTTGCGATCCAAATAAAAGTTGTATTTTGGTGCTGTGTGTTATATTAAGTTACTGAGTAACCCCATAGACACTGTCTGTCTTTAAAGTGCTCTTTATCACATTCACATCATTTGTGTTGTTTCTTAATCTTTAATGTTTTGCATAACTGCAGCATCTGTGAAAGCTGATGATGACGACGACGTTGACATTGATGGCACAGTAGAAGAGGACCTTGGAAAGAGCAGAGACGGATCCCGCACAGATGACGAGATTGTTCAGAGGTCTGTATGGACTCGCACTTGACTGATTTGAACTTCATTCATGTTCCTCGCACTTCGTGACCCTTCATTTAGACTCAAGATATCAAAGTGGGGTAAATAAAACCTCGAAACTAATCGTAGCTGCTATTTTTTTAGCTTATTAAAATGCATTTGTTTATCTCTTAAGAGGTTACATTTAGATATTCACTTTTAGCTCCTCACAAAAAGCACAAATGATCCCCAATGGGGTTTGGACATCTGGTTGATGCATTTGTCTCGTTCCACACAACCCAAGGGTAAATAGTAATGAGTCCCTAGAGGAATGAACATGTCACAAGCATCCTTTGCGCTCTTCCTTGATTCCATCTTTTCTCCAACAGGGAGGAAGAAGCCATTCAGTTAGATGGTTTGAATGCCTCACAAATAAAAGAAATCCGTGAAAAAGCAGAAAAGCATGCGTTCCAGGCGGAAGTGAACCGGATGATGAAACTGATCATCAATTCCTTGTATAAGAACAAGGAGGTGAGTAAATTAAAATATATAATAGGTCTTCATGCCGTTCATGTTTTTGCAAATTGTACTCCAGATCGACACTAGCTAATTCTTCCTTTTTCATCCTAAAGATCTTCCTAAGAGAGCTGATCTCTAATGCTTCCGATGCCTTGGATAAGATCCGGCTGTTGTCCCTGACCAACGAAGATGCTCTTGCTGGAAATGAAGAGCTTACTATTAAAATCAAGGTGTGTTAAAAATGAGTCCTGAAACCCACCCTTACTGATCGACCCCGTTTACTGAAACTTTCCACAGGACACAGAAATATAACATGGCTTTTACATTTGCATTGCAAAAGAAATTCAAACATGTGAAACAAATTGAGGAGTGTTTCCTTCCTTCATTTTCATATCTTAACTTTGATACTCAACACCTTGTTTAGCTATGCAAACACATTTTTAGTTCTTGGTTTCTGTAGTAAATAGTTTTACTACTAGTATCAAGGTTATGCAATATTTAGTTCTGTATTTTTTGTCTGTCCTCACCAGTCCGACAAAGAAAAGAACATGCTTCATATCACTGACACTGGTATTGGCATGACCAAAGAAGAACTGGTGAAGAACCTCGGTACCATCGCCAAATCCGGAACCAGCGAGTTCCTCAACAAGATGACTGATATGCAAGAGGAGGGTCAATCAACCTCTGAGCTGATTGGTCAGTTTGGTGTGGGCTTCTACTCTGCCTTCCTTGTGGCTGATAAGGTCATCGTCACCTCCAAGCACAACAACGACACCCAGCACATCTGGGAATCCGATTCCAACGATTTTTCAGTCATCAACGACCCTCGTGGAGACACTCTGGGCAGAGGCACCACCATTACGTAAGCAGTTAAACTTAAAAATTCACACAAAACAATTGTGCAGATTGTGACATTTTGTAAGTAAAGAAGTCTTGTTTCATCAGGCTGGTGATGAAAGAGGAGGCTTCAGACTACCTTGAGCTGGAGACCATTAAGAACCTGGTGAGGAAGTACTCTCAGTTCATCAACTTCCCCATCTACGTATGGAGCAGCAAGGTCAGTGTCTCCACCAAAGACTCCAGACTTCCTAGTTTGAAGTTTACCAATAGCTGGAGGACATCATGAACTTATCGATTTGTCATTTCCAGACTGAGACCGTAGAGGAGCCAATTGAGGAGGAGGAGGAGGCTGAGAAGGAAGAGGCTGCTGAAGATGAAGCTGAGGTTGAGGAAGAGGATGAGGACAAGGACAAACCAAAGACTAAGAAGGTACTGTATTTAGCTGCATATATGCAATGCAAATAAACATCAGTAGAAGTTATTTTATAGATTTTTCTCAATGATTTGAATGATTCCTCACTACTTTCAGGTGGAGAAGACCGTGTGGGACTGGGAGCTGATGAATGACATTAAACCCATCTGGCAGAGGCCTGCAAAGGAAGTGGAGGAGGACGAATACAAAGCCTTCTACAAGACCTTCTCCAGGGTGAGTCAACCTGTGCTTTACACACAAAAAAACTCTTATGATCCTTTGTGGCTTCTTGGATCAGTTCAAGTGCAATCATTTTTCATTTTCAGGACTCTGATGAGCCCATATCTCACATTCACTTCACTGCTGAAGGAGAGGTCACCTTCAAGTCCATCCTCTTTATCCCTGCATCTGCACCCAGAGGCCTTTTCGATGAATATGGAACCAAGAAAAATGACTTCATCAAGGTAATTTTGATAATCATTAAGTGGAAAAAGAACGCATTCTCTTATGTTGTATTTGAGTTATTAATTGTACCCAATTTGGTTCTTTTAGCTATTTGTGCGTAGAGTCTTCATCACCGATGACTTCCATGACATGATGCCCAAGTACCTCAACTTCATCAAAGGCGTTGTAAGTCCTTCTGTCTGTCTATTTTTAAGTGTAGCCAGTAAGATATTTAGGAGGCATTGACATTTGTGTGACCTAAGAACATTTACAATCCTAATTCTTCACATACAGCATGTGGCATATTTAAATTTCTTCGTGTAATGCATGTTTGTTGCATTTCCCTAAAAGTGATAGCCCTCCTGTGTATTGGCTCATTGGTAAAGATCATTTCCATTCTTGAATAGATTGCATGCATGCACTTATTTAATACAGGGTACAACTGTAATTTTATTTGCCAAAATAGGTTTGTTACATTTTTGTTTTTTTGCATAAAAAGTGTTTGGAGTGAACTATTTCTAAAGTCATTATTTAATACTTTAACCCAGGGAATAATCGGTGTTATTATAAATACTAAAACTATTGAAAGTTGTCTTTGTTAATTGACGTGAAGCCAAAATTAAATGTTAGATGGACAAACTGGAATACATATAAATGTTAGATGGAATTAAAAAATGTTGCCCTGGCAACTTGTTGAAATCAAAAAAGTCGAACTATTAAAATTACTAAAACTGGAATAAATGAATAAAAGCTGAATTGAAATGGGGGGGGGTTGTGTATTATAAAAGCACAAAACTGTTAAATCTAAATTGAAAATATAAAATAAAATAATTCAAAATAATAAATACTACAATTGTATAGAAGCACTAAATTGTAAATTTTATTATTTTTTTCCGGGTTTCTATGAATAGGAAGTTTAAAAGAACAACATACTTAGAAGTCTTTTGTAACAAATGTCTTCACTGTCATTTTTATCAATTTAATGCATTCTTGATGAATAAAAGTATTAATTTCCTTTTGAGTGGTAGTGTGTTATAATACACTTTAATAATTCTGGTAAATACTTGTGTATACTCTTCAATAACAGCTGTGCATGCTGTGGGTGTATATGTGTGTGTGTGTATATATATATATATATATAATGGCAATGTTTCAAATTAGAACTTTTTAAGTACAGATATTTTCATCATAAATATGGCATAATACATACATTTTGAGACCAAGTACTTCCAATTAGAAACACTGAAGAACTGTTTTAAGTCATTATTCGGTGAGATTAAGAAAAAAAAATGGTACAATCAGTTACCCAGGTGTCTGACGTGCCACATTGAATCAATGGTTGTGTATTTATCATGAAAGACGATCAGCATTGGGGGGGTGGCCACACCGTACTACTTTCAGTGTTCGATTTCAAGAATATTTTTAGTGACTACTTAATGTGTTGGGTGCAACCAAGTGCCATTGGCAGGTGTTACATTTGCGTTAGACCTTATCTTCTTGATGGCATCTCGCAGGGTAACTATGTAGAAGAAAATGCTCGCACGGCTGTTGCTGTAGACGCTGTTGACGGTTGCGATGGCAGCACCAATACGCTCCTCTGAAGCACAGATGACCACAGGGATGTCAGTGTCTGTCGCTTTCTCGTCCTCCACACCTGTTTCGGCCCCATCTTTCTTGAGTACTGCATAAACCGCAATAAGATCAATATAATAAACTGAGTTCACGCATAGCCTATACTTGCATATCAGCACTCTGCATGTGTACCTGAATACTTGGGCAGTGTCTGTAGTCTGGTCTTTTTGAAAAGAAGAGCAAAAGCCACAAGGATGAGCAGAATGAGGAGCCCACGGTTGACTGGCAGAGAGAGAGAGAGAGAGAGAGAGAGACTAATCACTAGACCAGGGTTCCTCAAATCTGGCCCACGAGATCCACTTTCCTGCAGAGTTTAGCTCTAACCCTAATCAAACACACCTGAGCATGCTAATCAATGTCTTCAGGATCACTAGAAAATCACAGGTAGCTGAGTTTGATCAGGGTTGGAGCTCAATTCTGTAGCGCATTGGCCCTCCAGGGCAAGATTTGAGGAACCCTGCACTAGACTTTACAAAATTCTGCACTGTGTTGCATATAGTATATGAAAGAAAAGGATGACCGCTAGAGGTCACTGTATGACTTTGTATGAGGGATGAGATCAAAATACTATTTCAGTCTTTCTACTTCAAAGTTTCAGGTTCAAATCAGTATGTTACTTGATGTTTCTTTGTAATTATTTGTGAAATTTACTAGCAATTTCTGAACGAAAATTGTTTCATCACCCTTTTTTCAGCTGTATTGTTATTGTTTAAAAAACTAAAGACAAAACTATTAAAAATTAAGACAAAACTATTAAAAATCATTTTTGGTCATTTAAATAAAGCTGAAATTGAATAAAATATACAGATTAGATGAAAGGTTAAAATTTAGGGGGAAAAAACTCAACTGAAATATTAGAAATCCTGCCTTATTTTTTTAAAGCCTGAAAATAAAACAAAGCTTATTGGAGTACATTTTACACGTGAACACTATTTCAGTCTTTCTACTTGTGTGATACTTGCCGTTTCTTTGTAATTAAGTGTAAAATTAACTAGCAATTTTTGATTTTTTTTGTAGTGTAATTTTTTTAAGTATCCTACCACAATTATTAAAACTAAAACTGAAATAAAAGTTAATTAAATCTATATGGAAATATTTTAAAAGAACAAAATGACAACAAGAACTAAAAACTTTAACTAAAATTAAAATAAACACTGAAAATATAACAATAAAAGCTATTCTGAAATCTGAAATAAAAGCTATATTAATATTATATTTTAAATGAGCTTTTATTGTTAGGCTATATTTTCAGTGTTTATTTTAATTTTATAATAGTATATACACTGAAAAAAATGTTTCACTCATCCAATTAAAAAAATGAGAGTAATGATTCACATCTATATTTTTTAACTTGAGCCAATGAAAAATAAATAACTTGTTCTAAGGCCTTGCCCAATACCCTAAATTTTTTTAATTGGATGAATGAAAAAAAATTTTCAGTGTAAATAATACTAATAGTATATATATATATATATATATATATATATAATACTCAAATAATACAGCAAATCAGACACAAAAATCTGAAATAATTTTCTTTGGTCGTGGTTAGTGCTTGTCCAGGCTGAGGTCGGCTGAAGAAGATAAAGTAAACATCTGTGTATTTTGTTGCTTTCCATACCTTGACTAATGTAAAACATGCCTTTATACCTCTTCTCAAGGCCTTAGTAAAACGGAATAGAAATATTAAATAAACTTAAGTTAAGACTTAAGGCTTCAGTAAATGTGTTCTGATAAGAAGTCCGCTGCTATACACCAGTTTTATGGGTTTAATCTGCCTGGTTACCTCATTTACTTTGGGACGACCAGTGGGACGTACCCCTCCTCCACCACAAACACACACAGGACACATTCCTGTTATGCAGGACAGCAATGCAAAACAAGGCACTAAAACATCCCGTGTGCTCTGAGATCACTGATCTCAGTTATCCATGAGATTTCACAAGAGAATGATCTAAAATCATCTACGTAAGTCTTTTCATTTTGGATCAGGAGTCTGACTCAGAGTGACTCATACACTGGACATGATTGGACGTTTTTCCATGCATTACGAAAGAGTGATGCAATAAACAAATGCATGGGGGGATTCATGGAAACACAATCTGCAAAACTTGGATTTGTTACTTACTTTTCCTCAACAAAGCCATGTTTCTCCATCAGCATCTGTAAAAGGAGAGAAAGCAAAAGATGGCTCACAGGGATATTAAACTAAATATTTAGTTAGATTTTGCTTTTCTAAACCTAGACAACGAAAATAAGCACTTTCAAATATATAGGACTTAAATTGTGAAACATCTAATAGATCAAAACAGCTCATTTAAAGAATGAAATAAATAATGTGAGCACGTTTTAAGAACTGAACTTGTTGCTTTGGTGTTGACGAAGAGCACTTTACTCATTTACTAATGAGCTTTTTAATGGTTCATTTCAAACCAGTCTTTTGCTCACATCTAAGACACATTTCTAAAGGGATTTTGGGTCTCTGGAGACTTTTGCACACATGTGGGACTGTTTATCGGGAGTCTCCTGGCCTTTCCTTCCTGATGGCATTCTTCACTAAGCTCTAAACTCAGAGTTATCAGTTTGATTTCAAAACTCACTTTCTGTCCTCTCTTCATATCAGATCTTCTTCGACCTCTCAGAATGGAGTAAACGTATTAGTTTAGCTGAAAGGAACCAGAAATCAAGTAAAACCAAACAGTGACTTGCAGAAAAAGTTCAAATCTGGCATTATGGTTTGAAAACTAAGCTCTGATTCTTTTCATTTATTTAGGGTCTTCTAAACTATGCCTATTTATAAAGCTCTCGCATGTCACTTACACAGTTTCTTGTCCCATTTCTTTAAAAAAAAAGAGGCTATAATAGAAGGAATACCAATTATTCTAATTGCTAACAATTTGTGTGGCTTTTGGGTTTTAAAAACAGAAGACTTAAACAATGATAAATGAATTAAAATATACAAGACCATCAACTAAATTTTAGATGTGACTGTATCCTTCACTTACTACTATTAAAGGCAACATTTTATATGTTCATTAATCACATTAACACACTATTACATCAATAACAGATTTGTATTTAATGTGCGCTATACTGATATATAGGCTACTATATTTTGTGAGAGGACGTCCATATTAGTGGACTAGGCCTATTACAATACTTGTAATGACTTTCATTAGTTATCCTTTATATAATGTCTTCCTTTCTTTTGTTAACATTATCCAAAATAACACTAACATTGTAGAAACAAGATATGGCGGAGTTTCTTCATTTCTTGAGATAAACTAAATGTCGCAAATAGGTTTCCAAAGTCTTAACAACTGACACACAACAAAGATAACCAAATATCACTGATAGTTACCATAAAAAAGAGGTGAGTCTGTATGTAAAACTTAGCGGTGCGCAAATCGTAAAATAAGAGGGAAAAAACGCTTGTCACTGATTTACATTGAATTGTTTATATTGGCCACTCACCAGTTTCCAGATTAATTCCCAGCAGAAGTCGCGCGGTAACGTTCATTTAATCTGTACGGCGCGGTCGAGTGGGCGTGGCCAAACTGGAGAACGCACAGCCGTCCAGTGCTACGTTTCTCTTATTTATCCTCACGAGACCCAGCTATGCACTTTTTTGTCCAGATGTCTTCTTAAAATTTCTGAAATCCACGCACGCCACTGTGTCAAGTCTTACTGTGTCTTACAGGGGACGACCCGAGCTTTTCTCATATACCAGAAGCGGGTGTGGCCAATATATGACAATATAATACAGTTTAATTATTTTAATATATATATATATATATATATATATATATATATTATTATATATTTTGATAATTATCTAACATTATTATTACATAGTCATTATGATATGTACACACACACACTTTACAATATTATAAAAGACCAATATTTTCTATTCCTACATTATAAATCATTACGTGTAATACTTGTGTATCTAATTAATTCAATTTACACAAAAAAATCTAATTGTCATTAGATATTTCACACAATATTTTATAAATATAAAGTGTGTATTTTATACACAACCTATTTTATAAATATAATGTACAATTAATGTATATTACAAAAAGTTTTAAAAATGAAAAAAAAAAACTAAACAAAAAAAAACAGTGAGACTGCACCAGATCTGCCCAAGATTTACTTAGTCTGTGCAACATATAGATATATACATATGATTACAAATTCTCAAACAATGATATACAAGTCACTTTGAAAATGTCTGCTGAAATTAAAAAAAAAAAAAATATATATATATATAGTGCAAAACTTAAGTTAGTCTAATACACGTTTACTAAAAAAAAAAAAAAAATATATATATATATATATATATATAGTGCAAAACTTAAGTTAGTCTAATTACACACTTTGTCTTTATGTAAAACTATATGAAGGAATGGTTAGCATTCTTCCCACACGTCACTCATGTTACAACTGTGGACATAAACACAATCTTATACATCAGTGTTCCTCAACCATTGTGTCGTTCACAACAGCTGTAATACTGTAGTTATCGAGGGCTTGAAAAGGCTCTTCTAAAGCTGCCAGAAAAACCAGGAAAAAGACACACTGCTTATTCCCCACCTATAAACACTGACGTCAATGTTTAGTGTCTTCCAAATAGGGTAAGTCACAATGTGGGAGAACCAGTCAAATGAAGCAACAGAGGGAAAAAAAAGTTTAGAAGTATTAAAATAGTTATGGAGCATACTTAAAAATAAGTTTAACTAAAATAAAACAAAACAAAACAAAAAAAAATCCAGTGCAGATTTGAGTAATCCACAATTGTGAACACGGCAAAATCACTCCAAAAAGACACAAAGGCAAAAGGACACTTGAATGTGGTGTTTAAAGTAAAGATAGCAGCATGGCAACATTGATGGGCAGCTCTATTCTTTCATTGGTATAGGTCATGGATCTGACCCGTTCAGGTGGAGAGAGCAGGAAGGCTGCAGGTCCCACACGCTGCTCCACACAGGTCAAACACAGAACGCCGCCCGCATCCACACTCTCCATCTGAAACACATACATTTACATTTAGTCATTTAGCTGAGCTTTTATCCAAAGCGACTTACAAATGAGGACAAAGGAAGCACTCAAAATCAACAAAAGAGCAATGATACGCAAGTGCTATAACAAGTCTCAGTTAGCTCAACGCAGTACAAGTAGCAAGCTTCTTTTTTTTTTAATTATATAATAAATAAAAAGAAAACATATAGATTAGAAAAAGAATAGAGCAAGCTAGTGTTAGAGGCCTTTTTTGCTTTTGTTAATTGTATAATAAATTAAAAGAAAACAAATAGATAGTATACAAAAAGATTAGAAAATGATGACATTCATCACAATCACATAATGATGGATTTGTTTCTTACAAACACGAAGCTTTTCACTTCACAAGTCACTAACTGATGGACTGGAGTCATTTGCATTAATTGTGGATTACCGTATATAGATGTTTTCATCAGCTTTTTGGACTCTCATTCTAACGGCACCCATTCACTGCAGAGGATACATTTGTAACCAAGTGATTTAATCCTAAATTTCTACATGTCTGTTCTGATGAATAAAAAAGGCATCTATATGTTGGATGGTCTGAGGGTGAGTACATTTGAGCAAATTTTCATTTTGGGGTGAACTATCCCATTAGAAGACAGGTGGAAAAAGACACTAACATATCTGATGGGGAGTTTGCTCATGCTGAGGACGGCGTCTGCAGTGATGTGGTTCTCACAGCCTTCAATGGAGCAGACAAGAGATGGGTCTTCACTCAGCAGAGTGCTGGTCAGCCCTGATCTTAGGAAGTACTCCTATGGAAGACGAAGAGGCAGGAATAATAAGAATGCTTCAAATTCACGAGTTCTGGATATTCGTTGGATTATAAAGATCAGAACGAAGCTGAAATGCAATAACTCACCCCAGTGAACGTGAGGATGTTGCTGATGGTCTTGGTGATGTACAGCGCTCTTTTGGCTCGAGTGATCGCCACATATAACAGGTTCCACTCGTCATCTGAGACGTTTGCTGCAGCCAGAGAGAAAAGATTAGCCATATGCATATCTGGATTTTCATATACTGATTGGTCAGCTGCAACATTATGCAAATATTTTTGCAACTAAGAGACTATCACTAGGGCAGTAGCCTTTTTAATATGATACTAACATTTAAGTACTAATATGCATCTTTAAGGTACTAATATGCACCCTTTAAGAATAAATAAGGTACAAAAATTTACCTTTTGAAAGAGTACCTCCCCAGTGACCGCTTTTGTACCTTTTTTCATGATCTCTAGCATACTACTCATATAAATGAAGGTCTATCTCAGAATCACAAACATACACTCTTTATGGACACTTTGATCTACCAGATGTGTAGACGGTCACTTGGCTAAAGCCCAGACAGACTTTGAGGCTCAGATACAGAGATTATAATAATAATAGTAAGTGCTGGGCTTTATTTCCTTATGTGCAACACATTTATTATTACATTATATACACACACACACACACACACACACAGTATTAAAAAACATACATTCCTATAGAAATGCCACAAACCTGCATTGAAACCACCCACTCTCTGCAGGTTGTGTCGAGCACATGGTACTTTCATGAAGTCATCTGTCACAACCACTGTGTCAAACTCCAGGCCTTTTGCCTTATGCACCGTACCAAGGATAAAATCTGTCACAATCAGAGATATAAAAGTATTCAGATTGTACATAGGGGTTGCAAGCCATCATTGAGTACTTCTCAAAAACAGTGCTTTAATGCTTTTTAGACTTTAGTCTCACTCACCTGCGCACACTGGGCTTTTCTGGGCACGATCATAGATGCGTTTAACCAGCTCTGGAATGCGTTTGTTGTATTTTTCCACCACGGCTAGCTTGGCCTCCAGCTCACGGTCTTCCGAGGCCATGGCGTATCCCTTCAGACCTCTGAATCCACCCATCTTATCTTTGCAGAAACTTCGGATGAAGTAATCCTTGATCAGAAGGCTCTCTAAAGTAGAGAAACAAATCCAAACAAGGCAAACTTTAGAAAAGCATAATTTAACAACCATCAGTTTCAAAGACCCAACAAGGTATTAATAATCTGAATAAGCTTTACAGATAGGAAACATACTGCAAAGACTAAATAAACCATTTTGAGCAATCCAATTAGGATATTTTGTTACACAGTGAGTCTAAGATTATAAAACCTTCAAGCAGAAGTGAATTACCATTCTTGCGTTTGTCCTCTGGTTGCATCAGGACCCAGAGATCCATAATTTTGTCCAGTCCAAAGTTTTCAACACCCTAAAATCAGAGGTTGGCATTTAAAAAAAATTTTTTTTTTAAAGAAACACTAACCATGTTTTGCACATCACTTAACTTTCTCTGACTGAAAAACTGCACAAAATCAGAGATGTTTAGAATATATTTGAGGTTTAAAAGACAGATTAAGATAATTCATTACTGTGCGGCACCAGAAAATGCCTGGAGAGAAAGATTTATTAATGTGGTTTGTTTTTGTCACAAAATAACACTGACAAAAAAGTGCAAAGACCCAAACTAATTGATTGTAATATTTGTTTACAATTTAGTAACAACATTTCCAAAAGCACAAGCTGCATTCACCGATGTAAACTGATATGTGACCCTGGACCACAAAACCAGTCTTAAGTCGCTGGGGTATATTTGTAGCAACAGCCAAAAATACATTGCATGGGTCAAAATAGACCCTTATGACTGGTTTTGTTGTCCAGGGTCACATATACCTGGATGTCTTCACTTTACCATTTTTTGGTGATCGTCTGGGTATTCTGGCAATCCGTGTGTGTTCTTGTACTTATGTGGAACATGTTCCGGACCAACACACTGGTCTACGGACGCCCAGAAATTGTGGAGCGTTTGCGTCACCACTTTAGCATTGACGAATCCTCCGAGTCCTTTAGGCAAGACCCACGCCACATCAAACACCTGCAAATTATTGGACAGTTTCCTCAAGTTTTTATACCTGCATAGCAGAAAAGAGACACAAATAATTCAGGTTATAGCTCATTGAAAATATTATTCATTCTTCAAAATAAGTGATTGTTTGGTGAATGTTCCTCTGCCAATGATCCCATAAATACAGTATAAACTGACCTCACTCCCACAGCTCTGAACGCCATTGAATGGATGGTACTGCATTTGACGTTGTACGGAAATGAACGCTGAGCTTGCATCGCCACAGATTTGTTGAAGGCCAGGTAGAGGAAGCGCATATGTGCCCTTTGCTGAGCATACTTCACGAGTGTGGTTGTCTTTCCAGTGCCTGCAACAAATAAAGAATAGCATTACATGCTACTCAAAACACTTTCAGCTGCAAAACAATTAAAATGATTTTTCCTCACCAGCAAAAGCCATTATTTTAACAACGTGGTTATTGTTGATGTCATGGTTGAGTATCTGCTGCTGCTCATGAGTGATCAGCTGTCTGAGAATGAAGATGAAAATTATCATTACAATTGCATCATATATTACAAATTATTTCACAAATACATCATATTATTTGTACTTAATATATACACTTTTGTTCATAAGTTTGGGGTACTTTTGAAATGTTTTTATGCTCACCAAGGCTGCATTTATTTGATCAAAAATATATTAAAAACAGTTCTTTTGTGAAATATTATTACAATTTAAAATAACCACTTTCTAATTTAATACGCAAGTTACTCCTGTGACAGCAATGCTGAATTTTCAGCAGTTCATAAAGTTCAACAGAACAGTATTTATCTGAAATATAAATATTTTGTAACATTACAAAATGTTTATGTCACTTTGGATCGGTTTAATGCATCCTTGCTGAATAACAGTATTAATTCATTTCAAAAAATAAAAATATCGTACTGACCCAAAACTTTTGAACGGGAGATAATACACAAATACAATATCCAAATTTGATTCCCACCTGTTGTCTTGCAAGCCCGCAGGAGGAGGAGCGTTCTCCATTAAGTGCAGCACATAAAAGATATTGTAATGCCACCTATATGAAGGTATAAAAAGTGAAGAATCATTTAAAACAATTAGCAAAATACAGAAAACATTCTATACAAAGTATTTGCATTTGTTTGGCTAGTCACATGACCAGAAAATCATGCTGTTTAACTCACAACTGACTGTTGTGCAGATGTCGTGGCCATTTATAGAAAAATGACTTTAAACTGGTCTCTCACCTGTTGCTTACGTTAATATCGTTCTCTCTCATTGCCAGGAGCAAAGTCGCCACAGCCCACAGGTACTCAGAGATTCCTCCTGCTGTCAGCAGACACCCAGACTTCCGCAAGAGAGCTACCAGGTCCAAGACATCTTTCACTCCGTCAGCCAAAATCAACATCAGGGCCATGGCAGGCCAAGGGTTTGGACCCTGTAATACATGTCGATAATCGGTTAAATATCAAAACATTAAAATAAAGTGTAACTGGACGCACATTATAATGCAGATTTACAAGATGTGCACATTGCTGCAACATAAACAAGGGCACTAAACTAGTAGTTGCAGAAATTGCGAACCGTGAGAATTCATTACCTCATTATCCACCATGTCTGGGATTCTGTCTTTGATACAGGCTTCAGCCTGAGCATAAAGCTGATGTCCTTTCACACACGCCAACACGTTCTTCACATTCACCCGTTTGCTGTGTTTGAACTGAGACATGTACCTGAAAAAACATGCACAGTGAGATTTTCACCACACAATATATGTGACTCTGGGCCACAAAACCAGTCATAAGGGTCAATTTTTCGAGACTGAGATTTATACATCATCTGAAAGCTGAATAAACAATATGGTTTGTTAGGATAGGACAATATTTGGCAGAGATACAACTATTTGAAAATCTGGAAACTGAAGTTGTACAAAAAATCTAAATATTTAATACTTAATATTTTTTAAAGGCGAAAATTGCCTTAAATGCTGTCCAAATAAAGTCCTTAGCAATGCATATAACTAATCAGAAATTAGGTTTTGATATTTTTCAGTAGGAAATTCACAAAATATCTTCTTTGAACATTATCTTTACTTAATATCCTTATGATTTTTGGCATAAAAGAAAAATCTATCATTTTGACCCATACAATGTATTGTTGGCTATTGCTACAAATATATCTGGGCTACTTATGACTGGTTTTGTGGTCCAGGGTCACATATACATTTTATATTCTAAAGTTTGATTTTTATTTTTTTGTATATACCCAATTATACATTTGCATTCAACCTTATTGTCATATTTTAAAATCTTTTTATTTTTCCATAATTTTCTATATCTATTCATCTATACCTATTATATTTCTCTGTATAGCATATATTGGCTTCATTAGTACTTTGCCAATATTTTAAACGTTATCAGTCTTGCCAGCGATGTGCTTTGTTGACTTTAAACTGACCAATCAGCAGATCATTAAGCTACAGTCGACCCCCGATGTACAACTGTCACCTAACAGGTTTGAGCTCTATCAGCAGCTCTGATGTAGACTTCAAAATGAGCCATAGGTGTGAAAGTGGGGGTTGGGAAGCACTTTCTGTTGTGCTTCAAAGGTGCAAATAATAAGTCCCATGGTTGCTTTACTAAATGAATAAATTTTGTATTCTTACCTCAACATATTGAGAAGACACAGGTCATCCTTTTTGTTAATTTGATTATCATCAAGGATAGACTTCACCTCCTTCAGCGCCTCATTTTGCCGCTTACGGTATCTGCAGTACAACTTCTTCCAAGGCAGAAACTAGGGAAGAAACCATGAGATGTCACAAAATACTGCCACCAACACAACTAAAACACTTTTTAATTAATGCATACACAGTTTACATGAAATTCAAAGTTATTAACTGTAATTAGGGATGCACCGATATGAAAATTTTGGCCGATACCGATATGGTGGCCGATATATCGTGCATCCCTAACTGTAATGTTAAAAAAGGCATCAAAAACACACCTGGGGGTCCATGACGACGACCCTCCAGTGATGGCACACCAGGCTGATGTTTCGATAGAGGTCATCCGCTGGGAGGTGTGCGAACACTTCCCTCAGGACCTCCTCGGGCAGATCCTGGACATGGCCCTTGGGCTCCTCCTGGCCTCCCTGCACTCCTAGCAGCCCGTAGTGGGCATCAGGGAGGGCTTCGACCAGGTCCTCCTCATCCTCTTCTTTTCTCACAGTAACTTCCAACAATTCTTCTTCTTTTTTGACAGATGTAGTTCCTACATCAAAGTCTTCATCGAACATGTCCTCAGTGATTCCTTCCATATAGTCCTCAATCTTCTCCTCTTCTACATTTTCTTCTTTTGGGATAAGATGTCCGATCGGTTCCTGTTCTTCCTCCTCGTCTTTCACCGGAGTCTTGGTTCCTTTTTGGGGGCTGGTGCTGATGACTCCAGTGATGGAGATGAAACTGGTGATGCCTTTCTGTTGTCCCACACCACCTGAAGCTTATCAGCAAAATTAACAGCTGTTAAAGTGCAAAGTGAGCACTGTTTTGTGCAGAAAGATGCAAAACGCACTGACAAATAAAACAACACCTTGTCTGCTTCTTTTGGTGGGGGTCCTGGGCTGAAGTCCTCGGTTTGGATCCGTGTTGCTGAGGTTAACATTAAAAGGCTGTGTGAGAGACTCCTTCCCTGTCTTGCTTTGCACCAGATCATCACATTCTGAGGGCCCCAAGTGCCTGCGTTTGGCCCTTCCTATATAAAAGACACATTAGACAGCGAATAAGCCATTTAAATCTCATAAAACGCACAAGGTCCGAGTTAAATGTGAGCTTTGACTGCAGCACTGACTGGCGTTGTATCCATTTAAATACATATTCTATCTACTCACAACCAACATGACGTGCAAAGAGAAAAACCACAAAACAAAGAATGTAACTGTAAATACGACCTTTCATGGACGATTCCATGATTTACAAACGACGAGACGTTTCACCCCACAGATGTCACAGCTTTAACTTCAATCCACCCAAACAAACAAACACAACAACTTCACAAGTGTTCCATTTCCGCTCTGCCTCACTACAAATTAAAAGTTCGGATGCTACTTCAAAATAAACGTTCTGCGATTACTAACGTTACACACACAGCTCTCTAGGCTCCTCGATTCTGATTGGACAAACGCAGCATTCAGTTTAAATATTTTTGGTTATTCAAAAGTTAATTCTTGTCCTCGGAATTGATTGACTGAGTATAGTTTCCACAGTAGGTGGCGAAAACCGACAGGCTTCTGTCTTATGAGTGAGTGAATGAATCTATTACACAACATTTATTCATTCAAGAGCATACTGACCACTTCGCTTCAGGCAACCGATTCGCCTACATATTCTCCTAAATATTATGTTTCTTGTATCAGGTAATTGTCTCTTTATCTTGCTCCTCAGAGTTGTTACAGACTGAACTAAAACATAAAAGGTCTGGAAGCTCAAGAGTCTTCAATCTCAACGGTAAGAGATATAAAACCCTGCATGAGACACAACTTAAACAAAGGAAGGCATGCAGATGAAATTTTAAAAATAAATAAATGTTGTATTACTGCTACAGTGCTCATCTTTTATTTAACAATATTTATTTGTTTGTTATTGATACCCCTCAAAACCACCTGTCTGTTCTTTGTAGTGAACCAATGAACCAATAGATGGCAGCAGAGAAACAATTGATGTGGGCTAGAATGAGCTGTGACATTGAAATCATTCCTGTATGAAGTTTTTCTATAAGTTAATTTTTTTTAAATTATGTGAATTAACTGTAGAGACTGCAATCAAGGCAGACGTTAACAGCAAAATGAAAAGCCTAATTTGATAGCGAGCTGATAACTGGTGTAAGTGAATAATGTACCGAATGCCTCTGCAACACATGGGTAACTGGGAACGCTTTAGTTACTTTATCGATTGTTTAACCGTAAGTTATTAACTATAATTTACCTTGATGCAAATTGAGGTGTGCCTTCCGATATTACACGTGGTCATTTGGGATTGGGAATGTTAAAAAAAAACAAAAAGAAAAGTTTTTGTAAGTAAAGAGCTGGTTGGATGAGAGAGAGAAAGAGAGAGCGAGTGTGTGTGTGTATGTGTGTGTGTGTGTGAGAGAGAGAGAGAGAGAGAGAGAGAGTGTGTGTGTGTGTGTGTGTGAGAGAGAGAGAGAGTGTGTGTGTGTGTGTGTGAGAGAGAGAGAGAGATAATAGTGTTTTTATTTATTTTTTAATATAAACTATTAAAAACCATTTTTGTTCATTGAAATTAAGCAGATAAATAAAATATAGATATTATATGAAAAACCTTAAAAAAAGTATTGTTATCTTGGCAACTAAATAAAATTAATAAATAAGATACAATTAAAGTACAAACATGACTAAAATTGAAATAAAAAATTAAGCTAAATAGATATTTCTTTAAAAAAGAGATACCTAATAAAAATGACCAACGCACATAACAAAAATGAAAATATCAAAGCTATTTTAAAACATGAATTAATTCTATAATAGTGTATAAATAATTGTCTGTGCACTTACAGTCTGTAAATATTCAAGGGTGGTTCTGACTCTTCAAGAATGGCACATAATACTATCTGCATCTCTGGGCTGCTCCAAACATCAATCAAAAGCTCTCATTCTGCACTTGAACTTCGTGCCGTCTTAAAGCCGTTCTAAAGATTGGACTCCAAGACTCTTGTGTGTACATGGAGATGCTTTAAGAGATGCTCTAATCCAGAGCTTTTAGAAGAAGTGTGATTCAAATTGCAAGCATGCAACTTTTCAAGAAAAGAGAGGCATGACGTAATAAGCTGCTACAAGTTAAGTCAACACAGGTTTGTACTGGGTTGTATTTTCAAAGTATTGTTTGATAAGGCGAGTCTTGAGGAGGGATTCCGCTGTCCGGACATGTAGTGAAAGTTGGTTTCTCCATTTGAACACAAGGACAGTGACGTGTTTAGCCTTGTAGTGAGTGAAAGTGTGACTGTGAAAGATGCATTGTGGCACTCAGTCTTTTGTCTCTCTTGCCCATGCAGTTACAGTGAATGGTGACTGAAGCTTTTAAGCTTGAAAAATGATTGAAAAATGATGTGAATAAGAACGTCTTTTGCGTTCCATGGAGGAAAGAGTCATTCAGGTTTGGAAAGACATGAGGGTGAGTAAATGATGACTTTATAGATGAACTAATCCGTTTAGTATCCTGTAGCTATATTAAAACAATAAGGGCAAAAGTCAAGACATCTCAATCTGAACTTATTTCTCCTCAAATTCGTCCATGGTCAAATGATCTGAGTATTTGAGTTATAGAGATCTGAGTATTCACTCAGTATCTGAGTGAATTTTATAGCACCATTTAAGTGGTTCTCAACCAGTGGGCCAAGAGGCCTCAAGATGACTTGAAAGGTTTTAAAATAAGACAAAACAACTGAAAACCAAGGTATTCCTATTCATCCCCTCAAGAACTTTTTTTCTTTGAAGAGCCAAATATTTTTACTATTTAAAATAACTTTTCTATTTAAATATATTTTAAAATGTAATTTATTCCTGTGATTTCATAGTTTAATTTTGAGCATCATTACTCATGTCACATGATCCTTCAGAAATCATTCTAATATTATGATTTGCTGCTCAAAAACATTTATTATTATTATTATTATTATTATTATTATTATGTTGAAAACAGAGTAGAATTTTTTTCAGGTTTCGTTGATGAACAGAAAGTTCAGAAGAACAGCATTTATCTGAAATATTATTTTTTTAAACATTATAAATGTCTATTTAAATGTCCATCCTTGCTAAATAAAAGTATTCATTTCTATAATTTCCTTCCCAAATAATAAATAAATAAATAAATTATACTGACTCCAAGCCTTTGAATGGTATGTATAATGTTACAAAAGCTTTTTATTTCAGATAAATGCTGATCTTTGTATCTTTCTATTCATCAAATAATCCTGAAAAAATGTACTCCACTGTTTTAAATATTGATAATAATAATAATAATAAATCTTTCTTGAACAGCAAATCAGCATACTAGAATGATTTCTGAAGGATCACGTGACGTGAACACTGGAATAATGTTAATAATGTTAAAAAATATTCAAATAGAAAGCATTTATTTTAAATAGTAAAATATTTCACAATATTACTGCTTTTGTTGTATTTTGGATAAAATAAATGCAGGCTTGGTGAGCAGAAGAGAATTCTTCAAAAAACATAAAAAATCTTACTGTTCAAAAATTTTGACTGCTAAATAATAATAAAAAGAAGTCATGGCAACATTGAATATTTATGTGATAATGGATGCTCTTGGAGTCAAAAAGGTCTAATTTAATTTACTTGGTTACATTTTCATGATTTCTTTTTTTTGTGTGTGTGTGTGAAAACAAAAATCTTAATTGAAATGAAGCTGAACTCAAATATAGATATTAAATGAAAAAAAATAGAAATGCTGTCTTTGCAACTAACTGAAATAAAATATGTTTACATTGAATTACTAAAATTACTAAAGCTAAAACTGAAATGAAAAAGTAAGATCTCTCTCTGTTTCTCATAAAATAAATGCAGGCTTGGTGAGCAGAAGAGAATTCTTCAAAAAACATAAAAAATCTTACTGTTCAAAAATTTTGACTGCTAAATAATAATAAAAAGAAGTCATGGCAACATTGAATATTTATGTGATAATGGATGCTCTTGGAGTCAAAAAGGTCTAATTTAATTTACTTGGTTACATTTTCATGATTTCTTTTTTTTGTGTGTGTGTGTGAAAACAAAAATCTTAATTGAAATGAAGCTGAACTCAAATATAGATATTAAATGAAAAAAAAATAGAAATGCTGTCTTTGCAACTAACTGAAATAAAATATGTTTACATTGAATTACTAAAATTACTAAAGCTAAAACTGAAATGAAAAAAGTAAGATCTCTCTCTCTTTCTCGCTCTCTCTATATAATTTAAATAATATATTAAATGAGAAAAAAATAGAAATGCTGTCTTTGCAACTAACTGAAATAAAATATGTTTACATTGAATTCTAAAATTACTAAAGCTAAAACTTGAAAGAAAAAAGTAAGATCTCTCTCTGTTTCTCACTCTCTCTATATAATTTAAATAATATTAGAACACATTTTAAATTGAGAAGAAATGTAAGTTCAAGGTTTAAAATGCTAAAACATTGTTGGTATGGTACTCAAATTTGTCACAAAATCTTTATTAACCATAAAACAAGCCTGTCATTATTATTTCAGAGCATCTGACTCATCTAATCTAACAAGGGAATGTACACACAACACATGCATATACCAGATACAATTATAACTGATTAATTATAGTCTAAAATAAAGAAATGTCTTTATGTGTGTGTGTGTGTTAGTTTGGGTGTGTGTGTGTGTGTGTTCGTTTGGCCATTTACAGCTCGTTGTAGAATGTGTTTGAAATCAGATTGCAGGATGCTCGCGGGGGCTGGTTCTAATCTTACTTGAAGGCGAAGAACCATTTGGCAATTTACACCCCTATACGAACGTCAAGTTTCTGACCAGAACTGTAATTTATATGCAAATGTCAAAAGGCTAAAAGGGTCTTTTAAGCCATAAACCGTCCAACGCTCATGCATGATCCTACGCAGGCGCTACAGTTATAACCAATCCATAACTTATCCCAAGCCAACCAGATCATTCCAACCTAATTTTTTGGGGAGATTCAATCCAAGGAATAATATTAACAGCCGTTAACTGAAATAAAATATGTTTACATTGAATTACTAAAATTACTAAAGCTAAAACTGAAATGAAAAAGTAAGATCTCTCTCTGTTTCTCACTCTCTCTATATAATTTAAATAATATTAGAACACATTTTAAATTGAGAAGAAATGTAAGTTCAAGGTTTAAAATGCTAAAACATTGTTGGTATGGTACTCAAATTTGTCACAAAATCTTTATTAACCATAAAACAAGCCTGTCATTATTATTTCAGAGCATCTGTATAGTAATTAAACCCAGGTGAAGTTTTGGTCTTTGTTTAGTTATTACCAATCCATAA